ATATTCACTCTCTTGGTGATCTTATCTAATCTCATGACTTTAAACACCACCCATATGCTGATGACTCCCAAAATTTATATCTCCAGCTCACACCTCTCCCTTGAACTTCAGATTCTCATTCAACTGCTTCGGCATCTCTTCTTGAATGTCTATTAGACATCTCAAGCAATTTAAAACTAGGACACTGATGTCCTCTCCCCCAAACTTCACAGTCTTCTCCATCTCACTGAGGAATGTCCACTCATTCTTCTAAGTGCTCAGGCCAAAAATCTTAGAGACATTCTTTATAACTCCTACTCACTCCCCATACCTGGATGTATCGGTAAATGTTAGTCCTACTACAAAGCATGTTCATATTCCAACTACTTCTACCACCTCCACTACTATTACTATTGTCTAAGCCACCATCCTCTCTTGCCTGGATTAATATGGCCCATAATTAGTTTCCCTGTTCTCACCCTTGTCCCCCTTCAATCTACCGTAAACATGGTAGCTAGAGTGGTCCCGTTAAAAACATAAACCAGACGTAATTTCTCTGCTCAAAACTCTCCAATGACTTCCCATCCAAAAACTAAAGTCCTTAGAATGGACTATAAGATCCTGCTACTCCCTTCATTTACTACTCTGGCCTCCTCACTGTTCCCTGAATACACAGGTGTTCTTCTACCTCAGGACTTACATATTTGCTCTTCTCTTTGTCTGAAATGGTTCCATCCAAATAGCCTCATGGTTCATTCTCTTACTTCCTTTTGGTCTTTACCCTATCATGTTCTCAGTAAGGCCTCCCCTGGACATCCCATCTAAAATTGTAACCTACTCCTCCTTAACATCATTAAAATACCAAATTCTATTACTTTAATGTGATCTCAATGAAAATACCACCAGGGTTTTTTTGAACCAGACAAGCTGATTCTGAAGTCAATATGGAGAAATAACCAATAATATCGAGGAAAACTCTGAAGAAGCCCATCATGAAGAAGTACTAGCCCTACCAGATATTAAAAACCTCAATAATGAAATCAATGTAGTACAAGCCAATGGAAAGACAAATCAATAGAACAACATAGGAAATCGAGAAGTAGACCCAAATACATATGGAAATTTTAGTAGATGATAAAGGAATCATTGTCTTATCAGTGGGGACAAAATAAACTTTTTAACAAATGATGTTAAGAAATTGGGTTGCCACCTGGAAAAAAAGTTGGAACCATATCTCACATTATACACGAAGATACACACCAACTCAATCAAGATTTACATTTTAAAAAAGAAACCAAAAAAATACTTAGAAGAAAACATGGGTAAATCCCTTTAAAATCTTGAGCTAAGAAAGAACTTTCTATTCATGACTCGAAATTCAGAAGCCATAAAAATAAAGGTTGACAAATTCAACATCTGCATGAAAGGAAGAAAAAACATTGAAAGCAAAAAACTGAAGAAAAAGTATTTCTAGATATACCAAGGGCTAATCTCCCCCAAAATAATACAGAACTCTTAGAAATCAATAAATAGACCAATAATCCACTTTTTAAAAATATAGACAAATTATAAACAAGCAGATCACATAAAAGTAAATACAAATGGCCCTTAAACACACAAAAAGTTAAAAATTTCACCAAGATATTTTTCACCTTTCATAATAGCAAAGATCCAAATGTTTTATTACACTCTGTTGTCAAGGCTGTAGGAAAAGAAGCACTCTCAAACATTGTAATGGGAGTATATACTGGAATATCCTCTAGGAGAGCATTTTGGCCATAGCTAACCAAATACATTTGCCTTTGACCCAGTAATCCAACTTCTGGGGACTGATTTAATAGACATAACTGCACACATATGAATATCTTGTGTACATGGTCACTCAATAGCAAACGACTAAAACATAACTCAAATATTCATCAGTAGGGGATTGGTTAAATAAATATTAATAATTCTACAATGGAATATTGTACACCTATAAAAATATTAGCACAAAGAGCTCCGAGATATACTGTTAATTTCTTAAAAAGACAAGGTGCAGAATACAGTATTGTCTATGCTATCTTTTAGGCTTGTACTTGAATAAAGAGACTGTAAATATATTAAGAAATTAATATAACTGGTTACTTATTTGCACTCAAGGCAGGGACATGAAGCTACTGGTAGGAAGAAGAAATGATGGAGGAGTGAGAACCAGACTTTTTCACAGTATACTTTTTATAGTATCTTGATTTTTTAATGATACATATGCAATATCTAGTCAAAAAACAAAACAGAGAGAGAGAGAGAGATACTGTGCTACACACTTAGCAATTACTCATTGTATTAACATCTAAGGGACAAAGCTAGCTATAAGCAAAACTTTGCTAAACTGTTAAATGAAGATGCAGCATATTCAAATAGTTTCACATTCCACTATAAACAGTATCCTATTTATTGCAAAGAACACTCCCATCTATAGTAACAGTGGTCTCCTCCAACCCCACTTTGACCTTATAGATACATTCTCTTTGCTAGCCATCTTCTGACTTCATCACTCCCTTTTAAAAACTTTTCATTGGTTCCCCAATACCCTGGTTTCCAATAAAATTTTTAGTACTGTTCTTAAATACTCACTGATTAGAGAGTACTCTCAGACAATTATATTTGTTAACAATATACATTTAATATCACTCCTCCTACCTAGCCCACAAGGTTGTTTTAAGAAGGAAAAGAATGTATGAGAAAATACTTTGAAAAATACAAAGCACTATGTAATTAATTACAATCTATTTCCAACAAAGGATACTATATCCATAATGGTCTTAAAAATTCTTTGTGACTATGGAATGCCTACATAATTCAATATCTTATAGAGCTTTCTTCACAGAAGGTAATACACTATTTATAAGAAACTAAAATAAGTTTCAAACTAAGGACAGTCCCTTTTCCATCACCTATTCTTTCTTATGCTTATGTTTACCAGCATCTCAATTGCCATTTGCTACCTGTATAAAATATTATAGGGGAGAAAATGATATTTTTACAGAAAAAGATTCATTTTTACAGCAATTCAAAACACCATCCTGTTTTCCCTAGTATACTGAAATTATTACTGAAAAAAAGTCAAAGAAATAAATATGCATTAGTCATCAGGGAAATGCAAATCAAAACCACGAAGAGATACCACTTCACACCCTGTAGGGTGGCTAGAATCAAAAAGTCAGATAACAAGTGTTAGTGAGAATTTGGAAGAATCTAAACCCACATACACTGATGGTAGGAATGAAAAATGGTACAGCCACTTTGAAAAGAAGTCTGTCTGATAGTTCCTCAAACTGTTACCATATGACCCAGGAATTCCACTCCTAGCTATATCCCAAGAGAAATGAAAACATATGTTCACACAAAAACTTGTACATGAATGTTTACAGCAGCATGCTTCATAATAACCAAAAAGTGGAAACAACCCAAATGGCCATCAACAGATGAATGGATAAACTAAATGTGGTGTATCCATTTAATGGACTACTATTCAGCAATAGGAAGGAATGAAGAACTGTTACATGCTACGACATGGATGAATCTTGAAACACTGTGTAAAGTAAAAGAAGTCAGTCACAAAAGACCACATATGATATGATTCCTTTCATATAAATCTCCATAATAGGGAAATTTATAGAGATAGAAAGTAGATTAGTGGTTCCTTAGGCCTGGGTGTGGGAATGGGAAGCAGTGGGGAGATATGGGAGTGAGAACTAAAGGGTATGGGGTTTCTTTTTAAGGTGATGAAAATGTTCTAAAATTGACTGGATCAATGGTTGTACATATCCATGAATATACTAAAAACCACTGAACTGTGAATTGTATAGTATGCAAATTACATCACAAAGCTGCTAAAAAAAATAAAAAGATGTAAATATCCATGAATTAAGGACAAAAACTGGCCATCTACTACATAATCACAGTTATAGTGTCTTTAAAAAAAAAAAAAAAAGCAGTATTGTATTTTACTTGCTAGGTTAAATTGCTAGTGAAATTCTAGGCGTGAAACCTGAGAGATACCTTCAACTCTCCCTTGTTGATGATCCTCTAAAGTCCATCTAATCACCAAGTCCCATTGGTTTTTCGATCATAATCTCTGACTCTTCCATTTTCTACACTGTCATCCTTAGTCTAGACTCTAGTTACTTCACGTCAGCTCTATCCCTATTCTTCTCATTATTTGCTTCTTCCAAATCAGCAAACACTGCTAGCTTTTAAACCCAATTACAATTCTCTCAATAACGTTCTCAGAATACCAACGTCCATCCAATCAAGTGTGGATTCTGGATTTTCCAATTTGCCCTCAACTCTGTCCCCAGTCCGCTTCGTTTCCTAATACATCCAAAAGGAGAACATCTCATTCAAGGCAGAGCTGTCTCTTGACTGTCCCTTGTACATTCTACATGCATTCATTTGTCTGCCTTTTTCAGGCTATTCTACTCTGAATGCCTACTCTCCACACTTATCTATATCCTACAAATCATCCAAGACCTATTTCAAAGCCCCACATCACCCATGAAGGATTTGTGGAGAACTCCAACTACAAATGACTTCTTGCATTTCCAAGCCACTTTTAGGACTTACTGTCTGTGCCACGTATCTTAGCATTTGATTTACATGCCACTCATCTTAGCATTCGATTTATATGCCACATATTTTAGCATTTGATTTACCTGTCACACGTTTTAGCTTTTGATTTATTACCATTTATTACCATCTTATTGTATGCCATTTTATTATTCCCTACAGAAACATCTCATTTCAATAAGATTATCTCCGCCTTAAGACAAGGACTATCATTTTTTTTGGTATCACTAAGACCACATGGCACAATGTGAGACCCAAAATACACTCCCAAAACTTATAGAATTAATTAGCTATTTTGAGATTAATTTAACTGTGAACTCTAACTCACCATCATATTCCCCATCATTTTACATATCTTTCTACTATAAATGCTATTAATGAACTCAAAATCTAAAAGGTGAATACAGTACCTTGTCATACTGACAGACAATTACATTATCCGTGTCAAACAGGTCTGACATATCCTGCTCACTAACATCATCTCCAGAATTTAAAGGGTCCTAAAGATGAAAGATGGTCACATTAAGGAATTTCATGATGCCTTGACTTTTTTAAAGATAGAGAGACTTACAGGAATAAAGGAACTAGAAGAGGCAGAATAGTATTATACTTAAAAGTAAAACAGCCTGAGTTTGAATCCTAGCTTAGCCACTCAATAACTTCAAGACTGACTTTTGGCAAGTTACTAAAACTCCCCATATCTCAGTTTTCTCATCTGTAAAATGAGGATAGTAATGAGACTCATAGGGCATTGGGAATATTCAATAACATAAGGCAGGTAAGATTTAGTATGGTACCTGGCACATATGTAAGGACACCATAAACAATAGTTATTACCACTTACATGCTTCTTAATTACCACATTGCACAACGATTTTACTGCGTTTATTAGGATTAGAGTAGATATTATATGCTTCTACCTTGGCTGCCTTCTTTACCTCCACTCCCATCCTCTAAACCTCCCACTATCTCTAGTTAAGAACAACAAATACAGTAGCCGATTCCTAAATACTTAATACTAGTTTAAATTACAGTTTAAGATTAGGAATTTATATACAAATGTACAAATAAGTCTCACTTTAAAGGACTAAAGACAAGGTTAATCTTAATCGTTACTCCTCTTGGTTCAAAAGTATATTAAAGTATAAATGTTATAAATTTAATAAAGAAAGGCTCAGCTCAAAAGTGATCCTCACCTCTTCCACAACGTCTATTTGAGAGTCTTCATTATCACTACTGTTGGTAGTTGAATCTTCATTTGATATACTGTCAGCTTCTTCTTCAAGTACCTTCAGGTCTCCTGCATCAATAATCCCTAGAAATTCATTCTCATCTACATCTCTTGTACTTCCTGTTTCATCATTGGAAGATGTATCACCAGTTCCATCTATCTGAATTATTTCATTAATATCATCATCAGTCACCTGAATGCTTAAATCCATCTGAGAATTAGAACCCTAAAAAGAGAAAGAAATGCAATAAATTTCTTCAAGTCAAATATGGTGTATAAAACACTGAATCACACAAAATATAAAATTACTTAAACATTTCACAAGTGGTCAGTTAATATATATTGCTTCCCTATAACATGATGTTCCCTAATTTTGAATTTTAGAACACCCCTGACATTTCTGTGTAACATAGGGATAATTTTTAAATTGTAAATAAAGTAAACCCACTTACAGTCATGCATAGACAGCAAATGAGTTCACTGTTTTCAGAAAATATTACCAGTTTTTATACACATCATCTTAAATTTATATAGTACCTGTTAGGTTTTAACAATTTCATTTGATTTTAAACAATAATTCAATGAAGTAGAAAGAACAAGGGACATTATTCTCAATGGATAAATAAAAAATATAAAGGATTATTCTAACTGATATAAATCAAATACAAAAGGGCAAGATAAATCAAAACTGATAGAACTGAAAAGAGAAACAAATAAATCCACAATTACAGTTGGAGAATTCAACATTCCTCTCTCAAGAATCAGTAGAAAAGTAGACTGAAATTCAATAAAATGTAGAAGACCTGAACAACACAATCAACAAACTTATCCTAATTGACATTTATAGAATCCTCTACCCCAAAATAGCCAAATGCACATTCTTTTCGAGGGCACAGAGAATGTTCACTAAGATGAATGATATTCTGGGCCATAAAACAAACTTTGACAAATTTAAAACACACAAAGTATGTTCTCTGAACACAATGGAATTAAATCAGAAACCAGTGACAGAAAGATTTGGAAAATCCTCAAATATTTAGAAATTTAACAACACATTTCTAAATACCCATGGGTCAAAGAGTAAGTCACAAGGGAAATTAGAACATAATTTTAACTGAATGCAAACAAAAATATAACATTTCAAAACTTGTGAGATGCAGCTAAAGTAGTGCCTAGAGGGAAATTTATAGCATTAAATGATTATATTAGAAAACAAGCAAGTCTCAAATTAATGGCCTAAAATTCCACCTTAAGAAACTAGAAAGAGAAGATCAAATTAAGGTTGTAGCAAACAAGAAAATAAAGATTAAAAGAGAAATAAATAAAACTAAGAAGAGAAAAAAATAGAGAAGGTAAATTAGACCAAAAGTTTATTCTTTTGGTGCAGCCACTTTGGAAAATGTTTGGCAGTTCCTCAAAATGTCAAACACAGAGTTACCATATGACCTACAATTCCACTGCAAGGTATATACCCAAGAGAACCGAAAACATATGTCCACACAAACTTGTACACTCTTCCCTGGGGAGAGGGAGAGTCAGAGTAGGTGAAAAGGGGAGAGATGCATATGGACAGAGAAAGGGCTCTTGGACATACAGACAAATGGAAAAAATTAGTTGGAGAACCACACATATAAAATGACCCCATTATGTTGGTTTTTAGAGATATTCACAGGTATAGACATCTGTGTGTAAAAACATAAGAGAAATAAACAGCCAGCTGATCATTAAAAAAAAAAGTTCATTCTTTAAAAATATCAATAAAATTGATAAGCCTCTAGCCAGACTGACAAAGAAAAAAGAGGGAAAAGAAGCAAATAAACAATATTAGGAATTAAAGAAGGGGTGTTGCCATAGATCCTGAAGACATTAAAAGGACAAGAAATATGTCTTAGGCCATTCAGGCTGCTACACAAAATACCATAGACTGAGGAGCCTATAAACCATAAAAATTTATTTCTCATGGGTCTGGAGTCTGGGAAGTCCAAGATTAACACACTAGCAGATTGATATCTAGTGAGAGCCCACTTTCTGGTTCATAGATGATGCCTCCTCACTGTGTCCTCTCCTCACATAACAGAGAGGCCAGGGAGTTCTCTTGAGTCTCTCTCTTTTTTTTTTTTTAAAGATTTTATTTTTCCTTTTTCTCCCCAAAGCCCCCCAGTAAAGGTTGTGTATTTTTAGTTGTGGGTCCTTCTAGTTGTGTCATGAGGGATGCCTCCTCAGCATGGCTTGATGAGCGGTGCCATGTCCACACCCAGGATCCGAACCGGCAAAACCCCAGGCTGCCAAAGTGGAGGGTGAAAACTTAACCACTCGGGCATGGTGCTGGCCCCACTGGGGTCTCTTTTATAAGGCAACTAATCCCACTCATAATAGCTCCACCTCATGACCTAATGACCTCCCAAAGGCCCCACCTTCTAGTTACCATCACCTTTGGGAGTTAGAATTTCAAATTATGAATTTACAGGGACATAAACATTCAGACCATAGCAAAAATATAAACTTTCTATCAATAAATTTTGCAACTCAAATGAAATGGATAAATTCCTTGACAAAAACTATCAATGTTTACTCAAGAAAAAATTGATAACCTAAATAATCTTGTATCTATTAAAGAAATTTCATTCATAGTTAAAAACCTTCCCACAAAGAAAAATTGAACTGAACCCAGATGGCTACACAAAGCCTTCCAGAAAACAGAAGAGGTATGAATTCTTTTCAATTCATTTTATAAAACTAGCATTACCATGATACCCACTAAAAGAAAAGAAAACAATAGACCAATATTCCTCATGAACATAGAGGGAAAAATCCTCAATAAAATTTTAGCAAATTGAATGTAGCGATATATGAAAAGGATAATACAACATGAATATATGAAGTTTATCCTTGGAATGCATTTGAAAGTTCAATATCAGAAAGTCAATCAACATACCTCACCATATCAAAAGATAAAAGATGGAAAACCATTTGGTTTCAATAAATGCATAAAATGGATTTGAAAAAATTTAACATCCATTAACAATAAAAACTCTCAGCAAACCAGGTTACAAGGAACTTTCTTCACCTGAAGAAAGGGGCATCTACAAAACACCCTACAGTTAACATAGTACCTAACAATGAAAGACTGAATGCTTTCTCCTTAAGATCAGGAAGAAGACATCTGCTCTAACCACTCCTATTTAACTTTGTACTAAGAGTTCTAGCTAATGCAAAAAGGCAAGAAAAAAAACATACTGATTGGGAAGAAAGAAATTAAACTATTTCTATTCATAGAAAAGATGATTGCCTACATAAAAAATCCCTCAGGGTCTACAAAATAACTATTAAAACAAAAATCCCCAAGGATCTACAAAATCTACTACTAAAACTAATATGTGAATTTAGCAAGGTCACAGGATATGAGACAGTTTACAAAAATTACTTTTATGACTGTATAGTAGCAATAAACAATTGAAAACTGAAATTTAAAAACAGTGCTATTTAAATCAGCAAGAGAAAAGAAGCTCATCACATACATGGGATCCTCAATAAAATAACAAGATTCCTCAGCAGAAACTTTGAGGGCCAGAAAGCAGTGAGATGATATATTTTTTAAGTGCTAAAAGACTGTCAACTGGGAATTCTACATCTGGCAAAACTGTCCTGCAAAAATGAGTGAGAAATTAAGGCATTCCCAGAGAAAAGCTGAAGTTTATTACCACTAGACCTGCCCTATAAGAAATATAAAGGGAGACTTTAAATTAAAATGAAAGGAAGCTAAACAGTAACTTGAAGCTATACAAAAATATAAAGTTCTCTTGTAAAGGTAAATACATGGACAGATATAAAAAGCAGTATGATCATAATTGTGGGTTGTAACTCTACTTTTTACCCCTCTATGAGATTTAAAAGACACAAGCATAAAAAGTAATTATAAATCTATATTAAGGAGGACACAATATATAAAGACGTGATTTCGGACATCAATAACATAAAGTGGAAGAGGATGGAGCTGAAAAGGAGCAGAGTTTTTATGTAAGATTGAAATTGAGCTGGTATGAGTCCAAAACAGATTGTTATAACTTTAGGATACTATAAGTAACCTCCATGGTAATCTCAAAGAAAATATCTATAAAATATACACAAAAGGGAATGAGAAGGCAATCAAAATGTGTCACTACAAAAAAAATCAACTAAACACAAAGGAAGAGAGTAAAGGAGGACATGAGGGACAAAAAGCTAAAAGACACACAGAAAACAACAAAATGGTAAGAGTAAGTCCTTTTCTATCAGTAATTACTTTAAATGTAAATAGATTAACTTTCCCAAGCAAAAGACACAGATTGGCAGAATGGATTAAAAAAATAGGATCCAACTATATGCTGTCTACAAGAGACTCACTTTAGATCTAAGGACACATATAGGTTGAAAGTAAAAGGATGGAAAAAGATATTCCATGCAAATGGTAACCAAGAGAGTTGGGATAGCTATGCTACTATCAGACAAAATAGATTTTACGTCAAATATTGTTACAAGAAACAAAGAAACACATTATATAATAATAAAAGAATCAATTCACCAAGAAAATATAACAAGTATAAAAATATACACAACAAACATCAGAGCTCCTAAATATATGCAAAAACATTGACAGAATTGTAGGGAGAAACAGACAGCTCTACAATAATAGTAAGAAACTTCAATACCCTACTTTCAACAATAAATAAAACGACGAAACATAATAGGAAGAACTCGAATAACTCTATATACCAGTTGGACCTAACAGACATATACAAAACATGTCACCCAACAATAGCAGGATACACATTTTTCTCAAGTGCATACAGAAAATTCTCCAGGATAGACTATATGTTCAGCCACAAAACAAACCTTAATATTTAAAAAGACTGAAATCATACAAAGTATGTTTTCTGATCACATTGGAATGAAAATAGAAATTAAGAGCAGAAGGAAAACTCGAAACTCCACAGGATGTAGAAATTAAACAACAGACTCTTAAAAAACCAATGGGTCAAAAAAGAAATAAAAATCTTTTATCGAAAGATTAAAAAAATCTTGAGACAAATGAAAATGAAAATAAAACATACAAAACTTATGGGATGCAGCAAAGGCAGTGCTGAGAGAAATTTATAGCTGTAAACACTCACTATAAAAAAGAAAAAAGATCTCAAATTAACAACCTAAATTTACACCTTAAGGAACTAGAAAAACAACAAATAAACC